GAGTCTGTATCTGGATACCAGGCATAAATGAGGCTGAGTGGCCACTCTCATGTCCAAGGGACACATGAGAAGAAGAAGAAAAAAGAGCTTTTCTAGTACTCTAGCATGCCATCGGAAGTGGACATTGAGCATCTTCTTGTGTCTTAATCTGAGTGAAGCCTCATACCTGCTCCTGGTCTGCACTTTGTGCTCATCTTGTGATTAGACAAACACAGTGTTGTGCAGAAGGCTTAGGTCAGGAGGTGGTGTTTCCAGCACCTATAGGAGTTCTTTCTTCCTCTCTGAGCCTTGGTTTTCTCATCTGCCAATTGTGTACTACCTTCTTCACAGGACTTTTTTGAAGGTGAAACAAAAAGAAATCTGTACATCACAAAACACTGTATAAATATTACACCTCTTTGTGTGGAGTACCTCCTTTGACAGGAAAGACTCTCTCTCTGTCTCTGTTTCTCTCTCTCTCTCTCTCTTACTGTTCAGGGTGTTCCGTGTGTCCTTCATCTGTTTGACTGGGTAGAGCCTTGTAAAGGTGCAAAAGCCCAGAAGTTGAGTACTTAACATGACACTGGGGATTCACAGTCCAAGGTTCCAGTCCTTAACCATTTGTGGGTTCTTGAGCCAACTCTTCCCCTCTTGGAGTTTCCATTTCTTTCCCCATTAAAGGGGTAATACTGCCTACCTCATAGATTTGTGAAGATGAAAAAAAGAAGAGATGCAATAAAGTACCTCTGAAGACAGATTCCAAGAAATTTTAGTAAAGATTATTATTTTTCCTCTAAACACTATTGCCTAGTCCATATCATTTCTACAATAAACATTCACTGTGGACTGGATTCACTGCCAATCTTGCTTCTTGTGGATGTTACAGAAGGAGAAAGTAGAATAAGTTATTGTTCTGGAGTGGAGACTCTTGACATGAGGTGTAGTATTTATTAGTTTAATATCATACTAGGTTACGGGTTTTTAATTTAATCTTTTACAAGCTACTGGGAATACCCTATTTCTAAAAATGACCTAGCAGAAGGATGTGGCTTGTTGAATCAAAAGGAAAGAAATCTCCTCTGCCCTTGGGAGTTTCCCTAGCAAAGGCCATCTAATAGAAGCATGTTGAAAGGGATTTCTAGAAAGGAAGCTGAGGGCAGGAATCCAGTGGGATTTGGCAGATTCCCTTGGGGTCCTCCCCTAGTGAGCACTTGGTAGTGTTTATTAGTGAATTTACCCTACCAGGTATGCATTTAGAAGGAAGGGAGGAAAGAAAGGAGAGCAGCATGGAGGGAGCCCCTGAGCAGCCATGTGCTGTCATTGAGCAAGCACTTGGTTTGTGTCCTGCTTGTGCCTGCCCCATCCAGGGTTATTCCCTGTGTTACTTCATTTAACTCAACCATAAATTCCAGCATAAATTCTATTGTAATCAACATTTACATGTGATCAAAATAGAAAGACTAAAAGAAGTGAAGTGTCCAGAAAGCAGATGGTTGACCTGACTGATTCCAAAGCCAGGATTCCCTAGTGCCCAGTTATAAAGCTCTCAGGAAAGTCATTTCTTCTCCCAAATAAGAAACCTGCTTCCACATCCCAAAAAGGAAGAAATAAAGTGAGATGACTTCTAAAGTAGGTGGTATTTATGTTTTACTCTCAAGCTGATTTCATTTTGAGGTCTTCTAGATACCCACCAAATCAATGGAAACATCTTGAAGAGTAGAGCAGCAGAGGTTGGAAAGACCAGGGTCTCCTTCAGTAAACAAAGAAAGATAACCATGGAAATTGGGGGGAAATTGTGCACAAGAGCAGAAAAGAAATATCACTTCCACTGCTGAGTTACACAGGAGATGCGTTCACAGGAGCCATATTCTCCATTCTGTGAAATCACCAACAACACAGTGCTCAGAGAGCCTTACAGAGGGATGTGCCAACTGGATTTCCATTTATTTGATACCAGGGGCTGATCCTCATATAAAACCTTGGGATTTGAACTGAAAATTTATTATTTCAGTAATAGAACTTAATATGGTCTCTTCAAATTCGAACATTTTGACGAACAAGCTAAGAATTATGAGATCAGTTGCCTCATTTCTTGGCATGATTTCATGGTATGCCTCTTTACACATGCAAGAGCTTGTCACAGTCCAACGCTAATGCATTTCACCTTCACAGAAACACAATATAGCATCATTATCCTTTTGCATGTTTAGGTCTTGTCTGACTCCAAAGCCTGTCTCTGTTCTCTACTGCTCTGTATCCTTCACCTCCCCCCACCCCGAGAATCTCCCTTTTAACAACTTATCTCCCCAAACATTGAAAGCTAGAGACCCTTCTCTTTCATCCTAAAGTCCTGAGCTCCAATCTTAGCCCTTCTAATAACTTACTCCTGTAGTTACAAGCAACCACCTTAGACTCTCCAGTGCCTTAGTTTCCCAACATTAGCTTGGGTTACTATCTCAGTCTATCACCACTTTATCTTGTGTGAAGCAGAGCAAAGATTATTTCAATCACACTGTGTCTTCCACTATTGGGGGAAAGTTCTCTAAAGGGTTTCATGAGATAGCTCATTTAGTTAACATCTATTACCCACTCCTTGAAGGGCTAACTGTTTGCTGGTCTACTTATGCTTTTCTTTTTAAATTTCCATAGGAAGGGTTAGATATGGAATCCACTCACAGATCTATAGTAGTGATTACACGGTGAGCACCTTTATTGTACCAAGTGTTGAATACGAAGTATGTCTGAGAAGGAGAATGATTACCTGGGAGACACACCTGGACACTCACAGGAAGTTTTCCCCTGTACTCTGTGCAAGTTTCTGAGTATTCACGTTGGTGGCTGGGGTTGGTGGGGGAGGGAAATGGCTTTGTTGACATCTGAATTTTGAGAGCAAAAGGCTTGGGAGTGTGGTGAAACACACAGAATCAAATCAAAGCTGTGCTGTTAAAAGAGAAGTGATAGCTGGCTTTTAATGGGTTTCCACAGTTTAATACAGAAACTAATCTTCATTACACTTGATGCTTCCATGATAGTGGGTAGGAGACAGAAAAAGGGGCTGTTCTCCAGAGGCATTTACTCTGAACACTTCATTATGCTGCTTAAGAGAAGCTGGGGAGACAGAGAAAGTTCTCCTGCTAAGTGGAATTACGGGGGGCAATTATCTGCCATATGTCACAACAAACTAGAAGGCAAGAAGATGAAATGAAGGGTCCGTGTTTCTATGAACTTATTACTCCTTTCTCAGGGAAAGAGAGACAAAGACAGGTGTGACTCTTGAAAAGGAATTCATCCTCCAGGACTCCCAGCACAGGTGGTCCAGCGTTCTGTGTGTTCAGAGGAAGTGTTACTCCTTACCCTGCTTTGAATCAATTATATCCTCAACCTTCCGCACCTAGGAGATTTGACCCTGTACCTAGCAGATGAGAGCGGCTGGACCCTTCTTCCTCCATGCCGAGATTCCTTTCCATTACTAACTTAACTCCAACTTCCTTAAGGTGAGACAGGTGGGGAAATGTGTAGAAGCTCCTTTGCAATTTTCTTGCTGATTCTGAATTTTTGTTCTTAATTGCCCAGTCCTTCTAACCCTAGCACTTGTCCTCCCCAAGTTTGAGAACTCTATGCTTCTGGAAGGGCTAGATTTTATTACTAGGAACCAGCCTCCTGCCTTCCCAGATTGGAAAGTGTTAGACCAAGAGTTTTCATAGATGGTCTCGCTCAATGTATACAGTCCTCCTGCACAGTAACAATTAGTATCCTTTCTCACAGATTATGAAACTGAGGTTCAAATCGGAGAAGAGATAACCTCTGCCCGAGGAGCTATGGATCTGGAAGTGCAGGATCCCAAGGAGTCCCTTCTCCTGTTCTTCTGCCAGTAGGCAGGGACCAGTAGGTTTGGGTGTCCTTGTGTCTCCTTCCTTCTCCGTAGGAGAAGGGGCAGAAATTTCGAGGTGCTGAAGAACCCATGACTTCCTTCTGGGACAGGCCTGAGTGGAAAAAAACCTTTCCTTCAATCGCTTTGTCTGGCGTACGAGAGTGTGGCCTGACTGTTTGCAAAATCCATCTGCGGTACCGCGGACCTCCCGGAACTGCGAACAAACCAGAAAGAGTGGGCCCAGGGAACACGCCGCTCCAACTGTCCGTCCAGTGGCAGGCTAAGCTTTGCTTTCAGTACTAGAAAGGGGTCCCACAGACCCAGTTTTGCTTCCAAAGACAGGCGCTTTGATATTCCGGGCTTAAGCTGTAGAGCACAACCCGACCCAGGTGTCCAGCTCCCCCGCGGCCTGGCCAGGCTGACGCTGGTGCAGCCCCGCTGCGGGGGAAGCTCCACTTTGGCTACTCCCTCTGGTCATAAATTAGTCGGTGCCTCCTTCACCCTTGCCTACTATGTCTGGGCCCGCAGTCCTGCAAATTTAAACCGCCAGACCTGGCTAGTGAGGGCCTAGGGCCTTGGGAGAGCGGTTATCGAGGTAGAGATACATGGGGTCCCTCCAATGCACGCTTACCCCGCCTAACGCCCCCCTGCCTCCCTCGGGTCTCCACGCCCATTCCCAAAGGGTCAGTTTCTCCGCCACCCCTTTGGGTCTCCCGGCTTGCCACTTGCGGACAACTTAAGAGCCGCTCTACTCTTCTTTTCCTCTCCGATTCCCTTTTTCCAAGAGCACCTCAATTTTTTCCAGCTCTCACCTGAACCCCAGAAGTGCAGTTTCTTCTTTCTGGACTAAAGCCGAACCAATCGCCAGTGGAAAAGCCCCCGCACCTACGCTACAAACCACTTGCTTAACAAGTCCAAAGGTCACCTAAAGTTCGGCTGATAAATAGAACCAGTAAGAAAAGATCTTCAGGCCCCCAGCGTGAGTACAATGAGCCCTGGCAAGCCCCTTTTCCGGCCCTGGTCTCCCACTCCCCAAGACTGCCCCTTAGGCTCTCCCTCTTTCTGGGTTTTCCCCCCTCCCCACCACCATTTGCATCTTGCCGAAAGCCGGGCCCTTCCCACTAATTTGCATATCTTATATGGCCTAATGGTGGCGATCATGGCAAGTTAAAAGTTTTCTGACTCCTCTCGGAGGAGACTCCGGACCCCGGGGAGTAACAGGTGTCTGGAGGCTGAAGGGTGGAGGGGTTGCAGGACTTGGGGTTTGCTTGTGAAACTCCCCTCCACCCTCCTCTCTCACATCCACCCACCCCCTTTACCCCCTTCTTTTTCCGTCCTTGGAAAATGGTGTCCAAGCTCACGTCGCTCCAGCAAGAACTCCTGAGCGCCCTGTTGAGCTCCGGGGTCACCAAGGAGGTGCTGGTCCAGGCCTTGGAGGAGTTACTGCCATCCCCGAACTTCGGGGTAAAATTGGAGACGCTGCCCCTGTCTCCCGGGAGCGGGGCCGATACCGACACCAAGCCGGTCTTCCATACTCTCACCAATGGCCACGCCAAGAGCCGCTTGTCCGGAGATGAGGGCTCTGAGGACGGCGACGACTATGACACCCCTCCCATCCTCAAGGAACTGCAGGCGCTCAACACCGAGGAGGCGGCGGAGCAGCGGGCCGAGGTGGATCGGATGCTCAGGTAGGCAGTGAGCGGGGTGCAGGATACGCGCCAGAGCCCCTGGAGCCCCGGGCCGGGTGCTTGATCCACGCTGTGCGGATTACTCTAGCCAAGCCTGTTGCCCACCAGACCAGTTCCCCCGGGGGGCGCTCCGCTTCTCTCGCAATGCGACCCTTCCTAGTCCCTCAGCCTGGCGACCCTGGAGCCCTAGGCTTCATCTCCCCGCGCCCAGGCCAGCGCCTAGGACCCAAAGGCCTTCCCGGTGGGTCTGGAGGTCGGCCAGGAGTAGCCGAGGTGCGGAGCCTTTGGTCAGGAGGTTGAAGGTGCGGTTGGGTGCAGTGAAACTGCTGTGACTTCCCGGGAGCAGAGGCTTGCGTCCCCAAAGCCTCAGGCCCTGCATTTCTTCCTGGGCTGCCTCCGCTGCGGGAAGTCGCAGGTCGGCCTCGAGTAGAGCAACCTGCGGTTCTTTGCCGAGGGACCCGCAGCCCCAGGGTCTGGAACCTGAGAGGCAAACTCTAGAGTGGGCACATCCATCTCCAGCGCCCGTGCAAGCCTCGGGAATTATCTTGAATCCCCAAGATCTGTAAAAGGGAGTGTTTTCACAGAGGGTCAGAGTGGACCCGCACGGGGCAAAAAGAAACACAAATCTAAGCAATTGGGTGGAGAGGGGGAGGACTCAGGCGGCTAAGACCCCACTCGCAGGGGATTTGGGATCAATTTGAGAAAGGAGGGCTTGTACACCTCTCGCCACCGACACTCCGGAGTCCCCCGGAAAATTCGGGCAGGCTGGCTGGCTCGCCTGGCTGGGATCTCTGGCCGGGTCTCCCCGACCGGCAAGCACTTTGACAGCTAGTTACTAATTATCCAAGGAGCCCTGCGGTTCCCTTAGGCCGCACGTCGCTCCCGGGCGACTCGGCTTTAGAAAGGAGCCCCTCGCGTGGCCTCCCACACTTAAGGGCCGCGGTTTCAAGGTTTCAGAGGCGTCGGACGCACGCCCGCAGTGCCAGTTTGGGGTGGGGTATGACCTTGCCATTGAATTTGCGCTCTGGGGACCCGGTCGCTTGCCCTCTAGCTAAGACAATCCTAGTGCTTCTAGTTTGTTCTGTTTTTGTTTTACCCAAATGTGTTCTGCTATAATTTATATACACTTGAGGTTCTTCCCTCGCTGTTTCCCCGCCTGCCATGATTTCTCCTTGGCCAGGGTTATAGGGACCTGCCAGGTGTGGGTCGTGGAGACTGAGAGGGATCGGAAGAGGAGCCACTAGCAGCAGCTGGGGCGCCAGGGTGGCCCGGAGGTTGTCCGGGGCCTAGCGGACCAAATGGGCTCCAGCCCGCAGGCCACCTAGGGCCTAGGCCCTTGGGCCTGGCCGTCCCCGACCGCTGTCTAGGGCGGCGCCAGCAAGAGCCGGGAAGCCTTAGGAGACCTAGGGCGCCCCTCCGCACCCGGCCCCACGCGGGGCTGGACGCCGCAGGGAAGTAACATAAACTGCAGCACGTGGAATTGGGGTGTTATTAATTTATTCCTATAAATCATCAACAGAAAGATACACAAAGAGCCGTGATTAGATTGAAAAGAGAGGCGGGTTACTCATTGGTGAAGTTGTAAATGCGGCTTAGCAAGAGAAGGAAATCAAAACGCAGACGCCGGGGTGCTGGCCGCTCGCTGGGCACCGCGAGCTCACCGCGCTGCGGGGCGCGCCCCAGGTCTCCCGCTCAGCCCCACCCGCGCTGCCCGAGCGGCCAGCGGAGCCCTGGGGCCACCGACACCCGCGAGGCCCAGCCGGGGTCTTCGGATCTCAACCCTCTTCCCTCCCCAAAGCGTGGGGAGCAGGACTGGGGAAGCCGAGAGGACTGTATTGGGGTGGAAACGCAGGATAGACCCCGAAGCTTTTGTCTCTTTTCCAAGCGGGTGCTGCCTTCCCTCCCCCACTCCCGGGAGTGTCGGACTTTTATTAAAGTAATTTTTCAAGAAATTGCTAGCCGTTCCCAGGTCACTGCACAGTCGGCTCCAGAGTGTCAGGCACTTCCCCCCCACCCCAGTCTTGTTCCCCTAAGATCAAAAGGGGGTCAAGTCACTTTGTGACTGTAAAGAGCTGGACGTCCTTTACACCTCCTGGAAAGGAAAAGCCAGAAAGAAAGGTGGGGGATTGCGCGCTTTCCGGCCCCCAACTCCGGCCGGAGCCCTAGGCGCGCCGGGCCTTAGGAAAGCCGGCTACCGGCTAAGAGGCCTGAGGCGAGGCCTCTGATCCGACGCCGGGGGCCCGGGACCTTTCTGCTAGCGCGCAGCGGTCATTGTTCGGGCAGGAGCGTGCCGGGAGGACAATGCGGACGCCGCCGGCTGGCGTTTGACACCTGCGCTCGGAGCACAATGGCCGCGTGCGCTCCCCATGATCCGCGCGTTTACTGGGGTTGGGACCTGGATCTGAGCTGGAGTTTCAAATAAACACGGAACCAGCTCCCCCTGCTCTTCCTTGGGAATACCGGTGAATTCTCGGGTCAGAGAGGTATCAAGGTATAGCTACGCCATCTTACCCCAAGGTCTAGTCTTTTGATCTCAGGTTGACTTAGTTTGTAAGGTTTTTTTGTTTTTTCTTAAGCTCTCGATTTTGAGCTAATTCACTCTTTTCACGGAGCCTTCACACTCAAGATATTATACTATTTCGCTAGGTTTCTTAAGCACGCAAAATGACAAGTGAAGAATTTAAACAAAAGGAAAAAGAGCCAAAGAATCTGTTAAAGCAATCACAGTATTAACTTTTAGAATCCAAATACTTTTTTTTCTAACTTTGGAAGCTATTGTTGGTACCTGTTGGAAGTGTTTTTCCATCCTAAAAATATCTTTGGAAATATTTGACACAAACAAGCTTTTAAATGATCTCTGATATTTATATGGATATGTCTAAAGTGTTTATTACCTTATTTTTCTCTTGCTCAAGGTGAATTCTCCACGTTTAAAACCGGAACGCATTTTCTCTGTTTTCGTTTTTGCAGTTACTTCATTATATTTGCATGGCTTGGAAACACCTTTATAAATACTTAAGAAATTCGTTGTTCACTTTGATTTAATTAATCTAAAAAGTTTGCATTTCTCAAAAACATCTCTTTCAAAACCTGGTTCCTTATGAATTGAATATCAAAGGGTTGCTAAAATAATCACAACTCTTCAAATGTTTATAAAGTATGTAGGTTTGATTTGCTGGAGGTTTTTAATACATTAAACAAAATTAATTTTATTTGATATATGAGCACCAATTGGAAAGAAATTGTTTATTACACTACAACACTGTATTTAATTTTAGCCTGTTCTTTAGCACCAATTTTTATTGTTTCATAGGAAACTAGTTTTCCCCTCAGTTTTTCATGTCCTATCTATATATGTATATGTGTGTGTATCAACATATAGTAAAGCAATGATTTTCATAAGTTATATAGCTGCATTAAATAATAGATGTGAATATATTGCTTCTTCGATACTTTTGTTCTGTACTATACACTATTTTCCTTAGCAAAGTTGAAAACATGCTAAATAAATAAACCTCAAAGATACTAATATAAGTTTCTTTCATATGTGTGTTTATGAGAAATGAAAAGTAAGATTCCCTTACTCTATCAGAGGAGAAATGTAAGAATTCAGGAAATCAAAGCATTTGGGATTGTTAATGTCTTACTCTGAAATTGAGATTACTCATTCTCATTAGGTTTTATTTGGGAGGCGGGGCTGTGGATAATTTTTTTCCTAAATTTTACTTGCCTTGTAAGTGGTGTGACTTCAGTGCCAGGGAGGAGGTCATCCTAATTGTGAACACTTTCCTAAAGCTTTGAAAACCATTTAACATTGGCTAAGAAGTCCTCCTTGCTTCTCAGGAGGTGGACACATATCTTACACCCCTATCTTATTAGACTGAGACACCCTTTCAGAAGGAAAATAATATAGTAGAGGTTTAAGCTGAAATTGAGCGAATTTAGAAACCCAAGCAACCTGGTGTCATTGTAGAATCGGTCTGCCTGTCTCAAGCTCCTGGCATCTCCACTTTCCAATGGGACTCTTGCCTTTCAAGTCTTTGGAATTCCAGGAAAGGAAGGAAAGCAAATTAAAACAAGAGCTTTCTGTTAAGCTTCATTAGTGAGGGCTGGTGGCCCTTGCTCACGCCCATCTCAGCAGACAGGGTGCGTCCTGTTGGGGGGGGGGGGACTTCCACTCCTTCTCTTCCATTTTCCTTTTATTTTGGCCTCAGCCCCTCCCAAGATGGTGGCTTGGAGAAATCCGTGAAAATCAGTGCTGCATAGAGAGTAGGCCAAAGCCCTAGTAAGCCAGTATTTCTCCCTGGACATCTCCCATCAGCACCCTAACCGTCTGCTTTTCACGTCTAGTGAAGACCCTTGGAGGGCTGCCAAAATGATCAAAGGCTACATGCAGCAACACAACATCCCCCAGAGGGAGGTGGTGGATGTCACCGGCCTGAACCAGTCACACCTCTCACAGCATCTCAACAAGGGCACCCCCATGAAGACCCAAAAGCGCGCTGCCCTGTACACCTGGTACGTCAGAAAGCAGCGCGAGATCCTCCGACGTAAGTGTTTTAACCCTGCTGAGGCCTCAGCCCGGAGTGCTCTTGCCCTCACACTGATCCCTATGGGCTGCCTCAGTTTCCCCTCTGTCCAGAAGGCCTGCGTGAGCACTTGGCAAATGCAAGGAACCATCATAATTGTCACATGGTGGATTGGCTTGTGTCATTTTCTTCTCTCACTGCCCTTTGCTGCTCAGTCAGTTGCTTTGACAAGCCCTTTGGTGAATGCAGTGTGTCTTGAACTTTTTGATCCTTTTTTCTATCATCTTTTTCTTTGATACTAAGTAGGTAACAGAGTGAAATATCTCCCACAAAGCCAATCAAGCATGTCCCTTTGACAGGTGAGCACAAGTCTTAGTTTCCAAAGAAGACATTTCCTAGCAGTCAACATCAGTTGCCATTACTGTTATTTAAAAGTATTTAAAAGGCATTTGTATCAATAGATATAATCAGAGCCTGACCTTGATCTTTGGGAAGAAGGGGTGGCACTGAGTCCTGAAGCAATTTAAAGCGCTTACTCCCACTTACCAAAATTAGCAGCATTTGGGGACCTTAACAGGTGACCCTGTCTAATGAAGAAGCTACTTCCAACACATTAAAAATGCCTGCACTTGGATGCTGGTCCATCAATCTGTGTCATTTCCATTCTTACCCAAAATTGGTTTTTTCTGTCTCCCCAATTTTTTTCTTTTCTTTCTTTTTATTTCTTGGTGGGACTAGAGTTTGAACTCAGAGCTTCATACTTACAAAGTAGGCACTTTACCACTTGAGCCATACCTCAAGAATTCTTTTACCCAGTAATACTGAGCGGTTTTTCTCTGAGAGTTTGAACTGCTTTGGAATGATAACAGTATGAATAACATATTGTTTTAATTTAGGAAATTATTCTTTGATATTACACCTTAATTATTTTGACCCAGTCCTTTTCATAGGAAAAATTTTGTATCAGTTGTCACCTTCTCCACACACTATCATTGTCTGGGCCATGGCTTTCTCCATCTTTGTCAAATGTCAATTTCCACCACATTCTGGGTAGAGTTTTTTCCTCCCTCCTGCTGGACGGTCACTTTATCACTCTTGTTTTTTGTGACACACTACTCCAAAGCGATTGTGTCTATATTTGTCCCCGTGTCAGGGGCTGGAGAGGCTTTCACAGTGGAAGTAAAGGTTTGGTTGTTTGCATGGGTGTTGGAAGCCTTGCATGGATAGACTAGCATTCAAGTGAGAACTGTTCACTGCTTAGAGGAGGAGGTCCTTTCAAGTCCCATGCATGGTGACTAGCTCTTCAAGGATTTGTGTTCCTGACACGAAGCAACTCTCTAGTTCCTGAAATGAGAGAATTCTCAGAGGTCACAGTCTCCCAAGCCCACCCTTCCTCAAGCATGTGCTGCTGACAGCGTCCCTGGTCCTTCTAAGAAGCCGGGAGTCCCACAGCTGGGTGTAGTGGCTCATCAAGTCTGTAATTCCAGCTACTTGGGAGGCAGGAGATTGGAGAATCAAGATTGGAGACTATCCCAGGCAAAAAGTTAGCAGGATCTCATTTTAACCAATAAACTGAGAATGATGGTGCATGCATGTAATACCAGCTGCGCAGGAAGCTTAAGTAGGTAGATCATGTTCTGAGGGCTGCTCTAAGCAAAAACTGAACACTCTATCTGAAAAATAACTAAAACAAAAAGGGCTGAGGGTATGGCTCAAATGATAGAGCACCTGCCTAGCAAACATAAGGCCCTGAGTTCAAACCCCAGTATGGAAAAAAAAAATTTTAAAGGCAGAAATCCCAGAAAGACTCTTGGTCTGACGGGACAGTTTACAAAGCTGAAGACAGTGTCTTCAAGGGACATTTTGTTGTCATTGTTATTATTGTTTTAAATTCACATAAGACATGAGGCTTAAGAAACATTGCTTCCTTCTGTAAATGTCCTATGCATACCTATTCTATACCAAGCACTGGCAGGCTATGGGATGCACAGGTCCTTTTCTCCAGGGACTTTCAATCCACTGAGGGAGTTGAGATGTTTGAGTAAGTCATGACAGCTACTTTCAAGAGCGATCATAAAAGTATACACACATGGAGCAACAGGGAGGGCTTCCTAGAGGAGGTAACACTTGAACCAAGACAAAGGATGAATGAAAGACACACAAACATGGGATAAAAATGAGAAAGGTAAATTTTAAAAGAACACAAGGGAATAGGATAAGTGGAAGAAAAATGGAGGAGGATAAAAATAAGATAAGAAATGATTGCAAATTTTCATGAAAAACTAAAAGTAATCTCCCTGTGCAAGCTAGCTCCCAAGCCTATGGAGAGGCTGCCGAAGCCAACTTCTCCAAGGCAAGTTTTATGGGCGATGAAGTCCCACCCCAAATGACCCAGAAGGAAGTGGAGGGGAGTTGGTTGGTGGTGGGTAGAGTCTAATTCTCCAAGCCCCTGGGGTTTGTAGAACCTGGGTGTTTCTGAGCATGCAGGCTGATGCAGGCGAGCACCAAGTTCTGAACCCCGTGTGGCCTGCTGCCTCTCCAAAGCACAGATGAGAGACTGGAGTAGCTTCCACACCATGGAGTGGCTGTGTGGCTCACGCCCACCACAGATGGCCTTAGAGGCTGGTTTTGCCATCCTGGAAGAAGTCAGATTGAAGGAGTTTGCTGGGGTTTAGGGGTGTTGTTTAGGCTTTCTTTTCACTCAGAGGTGATTCAGAGGTTAGGAACCTTCGAGTCTGCAGGCTAAATTCATACCCTGGCTCTGCCCCAAGAACATGTGACTTTAGACAAGTCACTTACCCACTCTGAACCTCAGTTTTTTCATCTGTAAAATGGAAATAATAACACTTCTCACATGGAGAGGTTATGAGAATTGGAGGAAGGGATAAATTTAGAGGTCATTGCACAAAACCTCACCATAGAAATGGCTCACTACATGTCAATCATTATGATATCTGTTCACTTCAGGTGAAAAAAATCCCAAATTGATCCCACGTCCTTACGGTTATCAACACTAGCTTTGACTGTTACTCATGTGTGACTCTACAGATGCCACACAGGACTCACGTAGAGAGCTGCTCTGACTACCGAGTAACAGCAGGGAGCTGGTGATGTCTGGAGGACATGTGGGATCTAGTTCTGTAGACTTGTCCTTTGGCATGTCTGACCACTAGAGGAATTTAGGTCCTCATCAGCATTCTGATAAGGGTTAATGCTCATCAAGACTGCTCAGTGCCTCTCAGGCTTTTAGCCCACCCATTCCACAGGTGGAGATACTGAGTGACCAGGGAATTAAGCAACATTATCACAAGGAGCCAGTGACTTCCTGCTTAAAAATTCAGCAAAGTCTCTCTAAATATCTTGAAAGATATTGTTGGGCACTAGTGAAAACAGAGCCCTAAGGTGGCCTGAGAAGCATACACAGTGGGTGAGGTCCAAGTGGAAGACTCCAGTGACAAGTTCAGTCCATCACCAGGTAGACCACCCTGGCCAAGTTCCCCCTCGAGATGGACCAAATGGAAATGAATCCTTAGATAGGAAGCAAGATCCCAGGTATGTAGACCAGAGGACCATTAGGGAGGGTGCTGTAAGTGGGTTCAGACATTAAGTATGACTTTTGAACCTCGAAGATTTTTGATCCAATTATCCAAAGTAACAAGAAAAATAGCATTTAAAAACCAATGGCATAGCCAGGCATGGGTGGCTCATGCCTGTAATCCCAGCTACTCAGGAGGCAGAGAGCAGGAAGATCACTGTTCAAAGCCAGTCTGGACAAATAGTTCACGAGATCTTATCTCCAAAAAACCCATCACAAAAAGGGCTGGTGAAGTGGCTCATAGGTAGATCACCTGCCTAGTAAGCATGAAGCCCTGAGTTCAAATCCTAGTACTGCCAAGAAAAAAAAAAATGATAGCACTTCCAGACTCATTACTGTAGGACTCTGGAGGTTGAGGTCTTCAGTGCTCTGAGAACTTCAGGAGTGATTCCAGCAATTAAGAAAGAAAAACAAGGCCTAGAACATGGTCGGGAGCTAGGAAATGAGTTTGTTATGTGTCCTCTCTGAGCAGAGTGCTTGGCCTCTGTGTGTGTTCATCTGTAGAATGGAATTACTCACCCGTGATGAACCCTGCATCATGCAGATGTGAGGAAGAAGACAACAAAACTCTTTTCTTTAATCAAGTGACTATTCAAATCTCATTTAAATCATATAAGCTAATGTATCCCCCTTGGGCCAAGGTGCCATCTTGCTTTCACTCATTCAACAAAAATGGGCCTCAGGAAGAGAGGACAGACAGAGAGGGAGCATCATTCTACCAGCGCGGATTTGTCTCCAGCTCAGTCAGCACCATGCACAGGAAGGTCCTGTATTTTGGTCTCTGTACTTGCCAGCTTTCAGATTTGTACACAGATCTGACACACACACACACACACACACACACACCATTGCCTTTGAAGTTGCACTTGAGATCTAAGAAGCATCTTCTCTTCCTAATACAAAACTCAGGCATATTTATTTCAAAGCATTATTTAAAAGGTTTGGGGCTTTATATTTCTCTAAGAACCTAACATTAGAATACAGATGCCTAGGATGTATGAGAGAGGAAGGATGGGAGAACGATTTGTGGCCTCTGAATATGTTGAGCGTGCAGTGGCTCACATCTGTAATCCTAACTACTTGGAAGGCTGAGATCAGGAGGATCATGGTTCAAGGCCAGCCCAGCAAATAGTTCCTGAGATTCCATCTCCAAAATAACCAGAGCAAATGGACTGAAGGTGTGGCTCAAGTAGTAAAGCACTTGCTTCGAGAGAGAAAAGCTCTGGGTTCAAACTCCAGTACCACCCTCCCCCTCCAAAAAAAATGTAGAATGAGAGTAAATTGTTCCTTTGAGTAGTTTTCCTGGGACCTAAGACTTGGTTGAGCTCATCCCCTTGTCATGAACATCAGGAGTTCAGGATTCAGAGCGTTGCTTCATGTCTGAAAGCCAGTGAGCCAAAGAAAAAGGATTAATTTTCTCAAAATGGTGCTTGGCTACATTTGAGTCAAGCAAAGAAAGGAGAAGGGCAGTTTTGCTGAGGCACCTGAGGGTAGGCAATGAGGGTCCTGTCACCAGGGGTCCCCTCTTGTATCCCCATACTCAGTAGGAACAGGTTATAAAGCTTAGGGGCGAGGAATGAAGGGGTCTTTGTCTGTCTGTCTATCTGTCTGTCTATCTGCCGAGTGAAGGCCACAGGTCCTATCAAATCTACTCCTTTCTCTTTTCAGAGTTCAACCAGACAGTCCAGAGCTCTGGAAATATGACAGACAAAAGCAGTCAGGATCAGCTGCTGTTTCTCTTTCCAGAGTTCAGTCAACAGAGCCAGGGGCCTGGGCAGTCCGATGATGCCTGCTCTGAGCCCACCAACAAGAAGATGCGCCGCAACCGGTTCAAATGGGGGCCCGCATCCCAGCAAATCTTGTACCAGGCCTACGACCGGCAAAAGAACCCCAGCAAGGAAGAGAGGGAGGCCTTAGTGGAGGAGTGCAACAGGTAACAACACCAGAAGCCCACTCGAGCAAGCAGGCAAGCGAGCACACGGACCCAAGATCCATACCCTCTATCCTGGGATGTTGAGACACTGGTTGTTCAGATAAGTGTGGCTAAATCGGGGTTTCCCAAAGTGTGTTCCACAGAACCCCAGTTTCAAGTTATTTATTAAATAAGGTTGAGAAACATCTCATGGATACTTCCTCTTAGGGGAACCACCACACATCTTACTAGGTTAAAGGGTCTGGGAAGCCCTGCAGTTCAGAAATCCGTGTAGCTCTGTTGGCTCACCTTCACAGATTCTTTCTTCTGTAGAATAGTTAACTAATGCCTCCATGAATTACTATTCTAGGGAAGATACTCTGGAGAATTCTGGTGTAACATATGATGCCAGTGAAATGAAAATTGTCTTTTGACTACCACATAGGTCAGGGCAAAACTATTCCTTAGCCATAGATTCTGGCTCTGGCTTCCTGTGCATACCCATTGGTCCAAAAGGAAACTTGGGTTGGGTGTGGTGGCTCTGGTCTAGACTACTAGCTAGCCCTCAGGGGGCAGAGCCAGGAGGATCGCAAATTCAGGCCAACCTGGCCTACATAAAGAGACCCTGTTTTGAGGTGAAAAAAAAAAGCAAACTGGGCAGGGGCAGGAGAGCTAGCATTGGTCAGAACTGTTCAGTCTACTCTGTGCACAATAACGCACCAGAGTTCTTTTTATATCTTAACAACTTTGTGTAATTAAACAACAAAAAAAGCTATTGGAAATCCTTGGAATATCTCTTTGTTTCTTTCCTTTCCTATCTTCCCTGACTCCCCATACTATCTAAAAAGCCTGTTGTTTGCTGTGACCAAGGCCCATGGGCCCCTTTCTCTGTCTCTGGGCTAAACTGGCTTGGCCAACGGAAAGATGCAGTCAGGGAGGGCAGCCAGAAAATAGAGAGGCAACTGAGCAATCAACCTGTGCTTGCCACAGCGTCCTCAGTCCTTAGTCCACTACGATGAGAAACCCCCCTCCCCCTCTAGCATCTAGTGATATCTGAGACCGTGACTCATACCTGGATATCTGAGTGTGGGATTTTATCAGCACCAATAGAGACCAGACATCTCTGGCCATCTATTACATCCCAGCTGACCTGCCCTTTGCAGGAGTCCTAGGTATGAATGAGAATCTGCCTTCCCTGGCACCCTTTTGAGGTGTCTAAACCCTGAAAGCCCAGAAGTCATTTCATAGCACTTGGAAGGGATGCAGATAGAGCCAGCAAAATGACTTTGCCTTTTGTGTGGTGAGAAGAATGGCAAAATAATGAGGTATCAGGAGACCCTGTCTGGGCCTTTTCCTGGAACTGCTTGTCCCCAATTTGCTCTCCTCTCATAAGGAGCCATACTAGAGGCCTTCACCCTGCCTCCCAGGACAATACGGAGTGATCTGGGCCTGTGGTAGGCCTCCCTTTAGTCATCCTCATCAGATACTACATAGAACCGGCCTCTTCTTAGGACAGGCTTTTCCCCAGCCTTTATCTGGCATTGGCCTCAGCACACTACTAACAAAGACCCTATGATTATGTGCTTGGGGCCAAGCATCAGCACCCCAGCCATCCTCATTCACCATCTCCCCTCTCTCCATTCCAGGGCAGAATGTTTGCAACGTGGTGTCTCCCCCTCCAAAGCCCATGGCCTGGGCTCCAACTTAGTCACTGAGGTCCGTGTCTACAACTGGTTTGCCAATCGCAGGAAGGAGGAAGCCTTTCGGCAGAAGCTGGCAATGGACGCTTACAGTTCCAACCAGACGCACAACCTGAACCCACTGCTTACCCACGGTTCCCCCCACCACCAGCCCAGCACCTCTCCTCCAAACAAGCTGACAGGTAAGCAGGATCCAGGCTTTACGCCTCTGAACCGACCATCCTGGTCCTCCCTACCAGTCTCATCTGGCTCAGGATTTTTCAGAGGAGCAAATACTTTGGGATGGCCCAGGATTGGCCTTCTTCCATTGCCAGAATATTCTCCTGAAGGAGTGTGTGGCTCTGGTCAGGTTTCATTCAACGTCTCTTTTAACCATTGTGGTGTATGGGACAGCTTGCTTGACCCCCAGGGAGCCCTGTTCCCTATTTTTTTCTGTCCCCATTCTTCTCCCTGTGTGGCCGCTGACTCAGCCCATCAGATTATTGCCCCAGAATGTCTTGTTGGGATGCCAGGTCTAAGCTGCAGGCAGAGAGATTGTGGTGGTACGTCATCAGTCACCATGATAGAGAACAGCATCCTGGCCACCCTGTGCCATCCCTGGCCATGTGCTATCCCCAGCATTCTCTCCAGCTCCAGCAGAATCCCAGTGGCCTCTAGTGAAGAGTTACTTTGGTGACAGCCTCTTGCCTTTTGACATCTGTGTCCCATCAGGGTTAGGGTAGGGCCAGTTATTTAAAATCTTCTCAGTGCTGAGCTGGCCAAGGCCAACTGAATGTATACTGTGTGCCCGACCCTGGCCTGGATTAGAACATCTCAGTTGTGGATTGGGATTGTCAGGATGGAAACCTACAACCTTGTTGTGGAAAAGCACTCCAATTCACCAAGCACTGTATCAGCCATGGGCTGGGGTTGGGTGCTTCTCCTCCTGGCCTTAGTTCTTCCATGCAATCTGCTACCCAGAATGGATATGCTTATGGGTGTCTGTTTGGTGTCCATGTGGACAAAGTGTGACCTAGATTCCTACTCTGGGGAAAGGCTTACAAAAAGAAAGCCAGCCACTGTTGTAACTCTGGGGTGATTCTGAAACCTGTTTCTGCCCTCACCTGTTAGGTGTGCTTCTGATGGGAAAGCCTGGGAGCTGAGAGCTGATGCAAGTACGGAGGTGACCGGTATCACCAGGATAGGTGCAGAGCCGCCAGCTGTGTAGTATACAGGCATTTGTCCAAGGCTGCCATGCCCATAGCATGGCCTCTTCTATGGCCTCTGGAGACCTGATAGTGCCTAGCATGAAGCCTGGACCTGGGCTGGGGTTTTCTGGGTCTTGCTCCCACAAAAAAGGAGGGGCTTAGTCTCAGGGAAGAACGTTTGGGTTGTTCTTGAAAAGCAGAGATGCCCACAGGTAAATGCCAGCTGGATGGCAGAGCAACTTAGCCCCTGTAGGGTAATTCAAACAGGATTCAAAGGGTAGTGGTGGATGGCATGTGGCCTGCACAGAGCAGGACCAGAGCATTTGCCCACAGTGGTAATCCAGAGAACTGAATCTGGGAGATGGGGTGGGGGGGTTGGTTGGGGTAAGGGACATTGTTGAGGAGACAATGACCATTGTGCTAGAACCTGTGATCTCCACACCAAAGTCAGAGAGCCTGCAAGCCAAACAAAGGCCCAGCAGCTTTCTGACAAGCTGGGGTTGTGCTGAGGTCACCACAGGGTCAATAGCTTAGGCTTTCCTATACTCCTGGCCAGAGATAAAGAGGACAGGGCTGCAGGGACAGATACCCCTCTGATGGGAGTTTGAGAAGGGCACATCCCACTGGAAATGGAGCCTCTGAGGTGCCTCAGAATTTGGGACCTTTATAAAAATCGTGGACAATAGAACTCAGAGGGATTTCAAAGAAACTGAGGCCAAGAAAGAGGCAATGGTTTGGCAAAGCTACACAGAGTGACGGTAGCAAATCAGGTTTAGATATTAGGTCTGCTGATTGACAGGTGCCAGACTTTCCTTGCAATGAGCACTAACCAAGTCTTGGCAACATACCAGCGAGAGCATGGGTGTATAGCTCAATGAGCCTAGCATGGTCAAGGCTCTGGATTTGGTCCTCAGCATAGCAAAAAAAAAAAAAAGAGAAAAGCAAATGCCAGGGACACACAGCCCTGATCTCTTGTACTAGCTTATTGTCTAGTAGTGCCAGCACAGAGATCCCAGAACCAGCTAGGAATCAAGGTTATCTTTGGTGGTCTTCCTAGGGAGTGACACATGAGCTGGGCAGAGGATCCTAGGTAATGTCCCCAGGGCCCAACACTCAGACAGACTTTGATCTGCAGAGCATCACAGTGCACTTCTCGTTACAGTGCCCCCAGACAGGAAAGGGTCTCTCTAGCCTCAAAATATAACTGAATGCAAAATAGAAAAAGAGGGGAAACCTCTTATTGCTGAGGGGAACCAATACCCTGAGTCAGCACTAGTAACCAGTAAGGGTCCATGTCCCAACCCCCCACTCCTCACCCTCCAAACCCCGACACCTGAATCAGGAGGGCTGATTGCACCTGAGAGACAGATCTTTCCCTAGAACTGTCTTCCTGGAAAGGCAGAGCATCCTTTCCCTAACTGAGCCCTCTCCCTCCCAGCCATGCCTTGTGGCCCACTTGCCCAGGATGACCACAGTGTGACCCTGGTCCTGGAATGTCCGGCACAATAGGGGTGGCAGGAGGAGTACTTTGCCTCTGTCAGCGGCTGATTGGTTACAAGGTGCCCTACAAACACATTGTCAGCAGAATCAGCTGTTTTCAGCATTACCCTCAGTGGCTTTACAATCACACACCAGCATGCAGCTAAGGGTTGTCATGGCTTTGTCTCCCTTATGCATGCTTAATTGACAATTAAGTTGGGGCTTTGAACCAGCCTGGCTGCCGCTGATGAGCCTTCATCTTTCCAGTGAGTGTCACAGGGGCACCCTTTGTCTGCTCTTCTTGGGGGCCTGAAGTTACTGTAGCAGGCTGCAGGCAGCCATTTATCTTCAGCCTGGAAGGCCTTTATCTGGCCCCTTCCCCATTCCAGCTTTCGCCAGCAGGAGCTGTCCCTGGTTATAGGCCCCATGACAGCCCATTCTGAGTCCATTGAGCAGGCCCCGAGTGATGGCCTCTACCTCCATTCTGGAGCTGAATCAAGAGAAAGGCCCCCAAAAGGTCAGAGGGCAGGGGTGAGGCAAGAAAAAGGACTGGTTGGAGACTGGTGCTCGTATTGATTGATTCAAGGAGGAAGTTGGTGTAGGATGAGAGCTGGGCTAGCCTTGGTCCAAGCCATGGTACCTGCCTTATCTGCGTGACTTAGGTCACTATATATTTTGCTCCAGTCCCCAGCTAATACCTGGACACCACCTCAAGGAGGTAAGGGAGGGACAGAAGGTCTCCATTAGCCTTCACTTTCCTACAGATCATGTCCTCACTCTTACGTCACTTTTTGGGAAGGAAGTGGTGATTCTTTCTGGAAAGTGAGAAATAGGAAAGAGAAGACACTGTCCAGGATAACTTCTGGGTATCCCAAGCCACAGTCTTTCTCCTTAAGAGACATTATTTCTGTGACTGCTTCTCCTCCCTCCTTTGGAACCTCTATTTTTCCCTCTCCCAACCCAACAGACTTGACTTTCCTGATTGAGAATCAGAACTTGAATCCTTCCTGAGTCTCCTTCATTCTCCTTGCAATCTCTTCCCGGTTGCCTTCAGGAATCTAACCTTGGACCTTAGACAAAGCCCTCTTGGCCAGGGCCTCTGTGTGAATGCTGTTGTTTTCCCTGACACAGAAATATGAATGACCCAAGGAAACTTCAAACATACCCAGTGACAAGATGGTGACTAAAGGTGAAGAATTATAACAGCTAGTGTTGACTCAGCACTTCCTGGGTACCAGGCCCTGGGCTGAGCACCTACATGTAACATCTCATTTAACCTCCTCAGCAACCTTCGAGGGCAGACGCCATCCCTACTTTACAATTAAGAGAAGGGAGATGTTTAGAATGTAAGTAATTTAGCTGGGCACTATGGCTCATGTTTATAATCCTAGCTAATTGGAAGTTGGAAATCAGGAAGATCTCAGTTTGAGGCCAACCTAAGCAAAAAGTTCTCGAGACTCCATCTCAACCAATAAAAGCTGGTCATGATGGTCACGCCTGTCATCCCAGCTACACAGGAAGCATGAAGAGGAGGGTTGCAGTTCAGGCCCACCCAGCATAAACCTAACACCCTATTTGAAAAAATAACTAAAGTAAAGAGATATAAGGGGCATGGCTCAAGTGGTAGAGCAACTGAATAGCAAGCTCAAGGCCCTGAGTTCAAACCCCAGTACTACCAAATAAATGTAATTTGACTGAGTTCACAGTTAGTGAGTGGTGGCAATGGGCTTTGAGCTGTTACACACTGTCTGTCACTCATTGCTTTATGCAGATACTAAGACCTTTTCAGCCATGAAAATCAATACACACACACACACACACACACACACACACACAGAGCAATCACATCTCCCACACTCCTGCTGTTAGCCTATGAATGAAAGAGACTTTGAGAGAACATGACCAAAGAGGTGGGGTAAAGGTAGCCATCTCAGCCTGGCTAGTTTACTGTTTCCTCCTTAACCATCACCCCTGACCAAGGTGGGTTCTCAGAAGAAATCAAAGCCCCCTCTTCCACAATCCCATCCCATCTGTGTGGGGATTTGAACTGCCCTTGCTTTGGACCCTGTCTGAGGCACTAAATGCCTTAACAACTTAATGGGGCCTCTGAGACATTGCAGGCACCTCAGCTTACCTCTGGGAGCTCCACCCCCTCCCTGGGCAGCAGACAAGGGGAGGAGGTTTATGGAGGGGAGCTGTAAAAATATTCATCTCAGCAGCAAAGGTCCCAGAATAAATGAACCCCATTGTCCCTAGTAGCAGATCATTTCAGTTCAGAAGAGAGAGAGAATCTTCCTTGGGATTCTGAAGTGGACCTAACTCCTATGCTCTTCTTAGGAACTTTATCTAACTGTGTTTTATCTCTTGAATTTGAAGGTCACTTTATCTTGCAGGTACCACCCCACTAGATTGGAGAAAACAATCAGGATATTAATGAGATTAAGAGGTCCAGCCTTCAAGGCATTCTGCCGAGACTAACCCTGGTCTGCATACAAAGAAACCAGGCTGAAGGGCTAGTGAGGATACTACCTCAGCACAAAGGGGCCAGGCCGGCAGAGACTGGACTCCTATCAGGGAAAACAGCCCTACTGGCCATGCCTAATCCCCCTGAAGGATCCTTAGAGGGCTCAAGGACTCCTTGCCACCTCCAGTCTGCTCTGAGGAGGAGGAAGGAAGCTGCCTGCTAGCACAGAGCTCCAGCCTGCAGCTTAGGGGAGAAGTACTCTTGGAAGCTGTTTGTTCAAGGTTTGATGGGAAATGACAGCAATTTAGAGAGAATTAAGCACTAGAGGTGCAGAGAGGGGCAGAAATCTGTGCAAGGGCCTTTGAAGCTACCTGCCTAGTTGAAGGCACAAGATCTGGCCTTATGCCTCTGCCCACTTTTCAAGGGGAAGTAAAAACACAAATGAGAAAGGAGGGGAAAATACACACACGCACACACACGCGCACACACACACACACACTGTAAAGCATATACTCCAAATAAAATAGAATCAAATAAAATATTCATTCTGGTTATCATCTAGACTGGTTATCATCCTGGCTGTCCACAAGCATTAGCTGACTTTTTCTAAAAGAATCAGAAAGTAAGTACTTGTCAGGCCATAGGGTCTCATCACAGTCACTCTGCCTTTGTAGCACAAAAGCAGCCACAGACTGTATGCAAATGAATGAGTGGATCTGCCTGATCTTCCAATACAACTTTATTTATGGGGACTGAAATTTGAATTTTCATGTAATTTCTACATGTCATGATTTTTATTTTTTTACAACCATTTAAAAATGTAAAAACTGGGCTGGAAGTGTGGCTCAAATGGTGGAGCACCTGCCTAGGAAACTCAAGGTACTGAGTTCAAACTTGTGTTTCCAGAAAAAGAAAAAAACATTCTTAGCTGCACATCATGCAAAAACTGGCTGCTGTGGGCAGGACAATTGTTCTTAATCTTTGCCACTTTTTAGAATCACCTGGGGAGCTTCTAAAAACCCCAGTAGTCAGGCTTAGCCCAGCCCTATTAAATCAGAGTGTTTGGGGACTAGGCATCCATGGTTATTAAAACTTTCCAGGTGAGCCCATTGTGCAGCCAAGTTTGAGAACTAACTTTAAAGCTTCTCAGTGTCAAGGCACATGGTCATCACTTGCCCATGGGTTCAAGTGCAGATTCTGATTCCCCAGGTTGGGTGAGGCTTGAATTGCATTTTGGTGCTGCTTGGGTGGATTTAGTAGATGACATCTTTGGAGCTACTCAATTAGTAACTTATCTCCCTTTGTCACCCAGTCTGCTTTGCCTGATCATCACCAACCCCAACATTTAATATGTGCTAAAGCTACTCAGAGGAAATGCTCTTATAAACCCAGTGAGTGTGGCAGTTATGTCATGGGTTATGGAGGCAGAACTGAAGTCCAGCCTCACCTTGGCCATTCATTGCTGTGTAACGCTGGGCAAGTTTCTGGAGTCTCTGAGCCTATTTCTTAATGTGTAAAATGGGGACACCCACTCATGCATATGCTGGGAGGATTAAATGGGATAACATATATGCATGTCTGTGAAGCACTCCACACATAGCAGGCCATAGTAAATGACAGCTAGTACTGTTTCTTGCAGAGACTTAGTTTGTTGTTATTTGGAATTTGTTGTTGTTTGTGTCCCCTGTCCCTGTTATCTGTGTCCTGGCTTTTAGAGAACATATCTCCAAGTAGATGCTCATCTTGGTATTTGTAGCATACGCAGGCTGGCTTCTTGTAGCACATTGTGTATAAGGCAGTGTCCCATGTTTCCTGGGACTGCTAAGTGACATCCACCAGGCATACCTCATGTCATAAGTGCTGTGGGCTGGTGTGGCGCACGTAAGCAGAACCAGGTTTATAAGATGACCATGAATTTGGTACCCATTAGGGCATTTTTCTTCAGTAAGGAAAGGAGGTGTGAATAACCAACCTGTATGTACTACTTGCTAGTAAGTAGCCCTGGGAACCTGCCAACTAGAGGCAGTGAGGTGCTTTCCTGGTAAAAGCCAGTGTCTGAGAAGCTCACTGCCCTTTATTCTTGGAAGAAGCCACCTCAGATTTAGGGGAAGGAACAGTAAGAAAGGAAGGTGAGCATGGGAAGTCTCTGCAACTCCTGCGGGGATGAGTTTCTGGAAGCCACCTTCCTAGTCTTGTGAGCGTGTTTTCCCTTCCCCTCTGCTCTGACCCAGCAGTCTCCACAAGACCACAGGGTGTCACTTCAGTCACTGTGGAGTCACCAGCAAGAGAGGACTTCATTCTCCTAGTACTTTGGGAAATTCAAGAGCTGGATTTCTCAGGTCTCGTGCTTTGTGTGTTAGAGGAACATTGTGGAAATGGTCTTTAGCATTTAATGGTGCTCCCAACAGAAGTCTATGTGATGCAGGGTGCACTATTTACGGGCAGCTTCTTTTCAGGACCACACTGATATGGATGCGTCTGGGATGTAAGGCGTAGCATCCAAAACTTGAATTGTGGTTCTGTGACTGTCTGGCAGTGTGGCCTCAAGTAAGGTCCTTAGCATCTTTGAGCTTCAGTTTCTTCATCTATAAAATTGGGATCCTTTGGGCACACCCATAGCCAAGCACAGTGCCTGACAGGGAAGATTCACTGCCTCTGCAGTGCTATTGGCTTACTCAGGAACATTCAGGGTATTGAGAGAGGAAGGCCTTTGGATCTCCCTGGATTCTTGACAAGGGTGTGACTTTTCTGTTTTACTCTGGAAGGAGTTCACTTTCTATGAACTTTGGTTGCCATTTGAGACATTGGAAACCACAAAACCTGAGTATTAGTAAGATCAGTGTTTCTCAGATCTCCTTCCTAAAACACATAAAAGTCATCTGGGTGGGCTCATTCCCAAAACAGACACAGTTCATTCACCATCCATACCTGTAGAATCAGAATTACCTTACTCAACTTAAAGAGAAGAGGCAGCTGGGATCAGGATCCCCAGACTAGGATTCAGGAGACCGGAGCCACTAACAAGCAGGAGTGACTTTGGGCAAATCATTTGCACTTCTCAGGGATTCTAGCAAATGGAGGTGTTAGATAAGGACCTTTCAGCTCTGATGAGTTATTATTTGGAGACTGTGTTGCTTCCAGTCTTGAGGCCCAGGACTCTGCTGCCTGAAGTGCAGAGGGAGCTTTACCATTGTGATATTTTATTGTTAAACTCATCATCAGTCTCCCTCCCTCTGTGTCTCCCTCACTTTGCTCCCATTTCAGAAACTGTGTGCTGTTAGAAGCCGTCCACCTTTATTAGGGACCATTAGGGCTTTACAGCACCAGCAGATTGGGTGGGGCCAGTCACAATAAACAGATTTATACTGGGTGTAAACGAGACACCTATAACTGCTGGAGGTTAACACTTTCGGGGCCTTTGAATGGCAGCCTGATACCCATGCCTTCGGGTCCTGTCCATGGCAGGATGCCTCTTCTTGGTTGGCACTTGCTAGACTGGGTTGGCAACAAAACCCAACTGAGTCCTTGTTCAATAAGGATGAAAACCCTCTAAAACAACACCTGTGTGTGTAACATCAGTTTGCACAGTGAACACAAATAAGTACTTCATCTATCTCTAGTTGTTTTGCAGATGGAAACAGAAATGAGCAGCCCTTCCTTCCTCTTTGTAATTCTACTGATAGGTGAAATATAGGACTTTCATCCTTTCCTGTCAAAGAAAAACAAAAACAAGTAACCTATTCCCACGATGAAGAAAGTCTAAAAGAGCTCACGGTGTACGTATTCTGAGCAGTGGAATTGTGAGCTGTACCAACATGTAACCCCAAGTTGGATTTCTTCACCACTGTCTTTCCAGCCCAGGCCTGGCACATGGCAGCCACGCCACATAATTGTAGAATGAAAACATCTGTAAAAGGGTATTTTCTGTCTAAATGCTTAATGCATAAATGTTCTGTTTTGTAAGTTAGTTATTCAGTTATAGAGTTAAACTGAGCATAAAATTTTTTTACAAAACTAATATATTAGTATATAAAGCGTATTTTCCCTTTTCTAAAAACAATGTCACCCAGCTCCACCTCCACTAACACTGCTTACCTAAAGTATTCACTGCAAAATAATGCCACCATTAAGTACGATCAGAAAGTTTTCAAAGAACATAATATGACTTTCTCCCTAATGTTCTACTGGCTTATTTTACTAGTTTAGTCTACTCCTTTAGTTTAGTTCTACTAGTTAGTTCCATGTTTTACTAGTTTAGTTCCTTTGATAATCTTATACCAATATTCCTTGGGCAAGAAAAGAGCAAAAACTACTCTTCCCAAGTTTCCACTGAGTGAACTGAGGTCTAGATTCACTACAAATTCGATCCATTTGGAGAGACAGGGGCACAGCTGCCCAGCTCTGGGCAGCCATCCATTCTTTGGTGGCAATCCTTACACACTCGTCTGGTGCTCCTGTTCTTCTGGCAGAATGGTAGCCAGTCATTGTCCACCTGCCAAAATCCCAGTGCCCAAAACCTGGTGCTCCTGGGGCCAGCATCCATGAGCCTACCCGAGTGATCAGCAGCTGTGATGATGATAGTGATGATGATGGTGATGATGATGCTGATGGAGCTACCTTCAGTGATGGTGATGAAGAGGCTAGGGTCTGGCCAGGCAAACGTCCATAATGAGGCAGCTCTGACACTTGCTAAGCCTCAAAGGATCTCATCCCTTGGTACCACCTCCCAGTAGGAAACTGCTTATGAATAGGTCGCAGTGGAAAACATCTCTTTTCTAAGGCAATTTTATTAGCCCTTTAGTCACAATGCAGATGTCTGTTTATAGGACCTTACTTTGTGTGAACACCCAGTGGCTCAGTCTACTGATAGCTTTATAGCCTTTCTCCTATTACCCAGACCCACTAGGAGCATCCACCATTCTCCTGTAGCCAAGCCCAGGAGCCTTTGTTGCACTCATATTATCTCTGCCTGCAAAAGCAGCCTCTCAGAAAAGGCCAGACCCCAGGAGCCCGACTGCAGAGGGACACTGTCTGCCCCCACAGGCTTTAGGCCCAACAGTGTCCACCATTAACCCTTCTTAGTTTAATTCTTCTTTCTTTCTTTCTTTTTTTCTTGTGACACTGGGGTTTGAACTCAGGGCCTCACACTTGCTAGGCAGGCGCTCTTACCACTTAAGCCACTCCACCAGACCTATCCTGGTTTCTTTGAAGAAAAAGACAATTTAAGTTACTCATGTTGTCATAGTGAATCCACGAATCCCTTCTCCTATCTTGAAAATCAACCCAATGGAAAACTGAATTCCAAGATGGCAAGTGTACATTCGGGGTTCCCACCTGTAGCTCCAGATCTTTACAATGGTCCTGGGCTAATGGAAATGCCTACTCCATCCCCGCTGAGTCCTCCCTAAGGGGTACTAAGCTGAATCCTCAAGACTAGAGAATGGGTCAGCTCCCTGAAGCATCCCATTGCCACTTCTGCACAACATAGGTCTCTGTGTAAAATCCCGGGGCAGAAGGCAGCTCTGTGGTGTCACACTTACCCCTCCATGCACCTGTCTTGGCCCTTCAGACATGAAGTTCTCAAATCTCTCGTACTGTTTTATCTATTTTGATTATGTCTTAATCTCTCCTCCCCCCCCATCCTTTCTTTCTCCCTCTTCTTCCTTTAAAAAGGTGTTTGCCTCCCCTCACCACAGAAAACCCAAGCTAGTTGGTGCATTTCTGCAATCCCAGCTATTCAGGAGGTAAAGGCAGGAGGATCAGGAGTTTGAGGCCAGCTCTGGCATAGCTAGTGAGACCCTATCTCAAAAGTAAAACAACTGGGGGTGTAGCTCAAGTTGTCAAGCTCTTGCCTAGCATGCTTGAGGTCCTGGGTTCAATCCTCAGTACCAAAAAAAAAAAAAAGAAAGAAAGAAAAGAGAAGAAGGGAGGGAAGGAGGGAGGAAGGAAGGGAAAAAAAAAAAGAAAGAAAGACCAGGAGACTTAGAGGATAAATGTATAATACTATAGTTGCTCCTCCACCACTCAACAGGCTAAAAAAGGGGCTGTGGAGCTCTGGGTCAAAACTGAAAAGTAGGTCATTCATTCTCATTGACTCATTCAATAAATATTTGAGTGCCTGACACAGGTCAGGCTCTGTGCAGGGTGCTGAGGAGATGGTGGAGAAGACACTTAAGGCCCTGCCCTCGAGAAGCTTATGTTCCCATGAAGAATGCAGCCAAGAAACAAACTCATAAAATCATTCCAAACTCTTATTGGGCCATGATGGGTTGGGCTTAACATCTCTGCAGTCAAATTGCTGCTTATGGGGAAGAGGAGAAGGGTCAGCTTTGAAATACCAGACTTACTGGGTGACACCTGGCAAAAGGTAGTTTCAACAACCTCATCGTCTCACAACTTCAGCTTTCCACTCTGTCACATGGGCACGTGTGGCACATTGAGAAGCAGACAGTATGAAATGCTTACATGGGTGACCACCTACCTTCTCAAGGGCTAGGGAAGCTCTTTTGCCTGTAGCAGCAGTCTGCAGACTGAAGTGGTCATTGTAAACCACCTGATGTTTGCCTACAGAAACCCACTCTTTGGCAAGGGTGAAGCATGGTGCCTGAGGCCAACACAAGGGAAGGCATGTGGGGTTTCTGTCCCTTTTCTCCCTTCTGCATTGTGCACCCTGCACATTTAGCACCCGTTCTCAGCCAAGATGCTTTTCATGGAAGACTTTTTTTTTTCTCTTGGTTACATTTGCTTTGATTTCTATAAGAAAACCAGTTTGTGGGCTTCCCTGAAGTATCACTCAACTTTTTACTCCTTGAGTCAAGAATGTTTACCATCCCCGCAGGCCAGTCTGTGTTTCTCCTCTTATGAACTGGGCTCCTACCTAAGCCACCTCAGGATCTGGAATTGAAACTAGCCCAGTGTTTAAACTGCTTTCATCTTGCATCAGCCTTTTCCTCCCGGCTTTCAGATTTTTAATCTCCTAAACTCTCTGCAAACATTAATCTCTATTCTTAGGAAGAACTATTACTAAGAGCTGGCAGAAGTCCTTGTTATAAATGAGGAAACCGAGGCAGCAATGCTGATTCATTTGAAAGCTTTCATTTCTGGAGTTTCCCATTTGAAGCTGAGGAATTGTTCACATTCTTTTAACCCCCAATGAATGTCTCAGAAGTTCACTAGAGTGAATCATTTGTCTCTCTGCTTCTGTGCTCAAGAAAAGAGACTCGTGTTTAGGGGGGAAGGGTAGAGTTGTCAGGGTGCAGCCATCAAGACCAGCCTAATCCTGTCCCTTTCTCTCCCCAAAACAAAATTGTGGCTTCATAGGAAAAATAGTTCTGTGTATCCGTAATTTATGGACATGGCTGTTTCTTTTTGGAAGAGCTTTTTCCCTCACATGCTCCCTCATGCCTGAGTTTAAATTCCCGGTTTCCAGACCCAATGGGGTTGGGCTGCGCTCTGCATGAGGTTAGGAATACAGGAGAAGAATGTGTGTGACAGAGCCCTGGCCGGTTGAGTAATGTTTACTCTGTTGGTGGCGGGGACGCTCACTCTTGCTGGCAGAGGTCCACCAGCTGGAGGAACATTCCTACATTATCTGTGATGGGAGGTTGGCTTTGAAATGTCAAGGGTGAAGGCAATCCCACCAGGCTCTGGGTGCAGCCCACAGACCCCAGCAAAGGGAACCCCAGGCTTCAGTGCCAAAAGTCACATGGGGAGCAAGCTGAACCTCACATCGCTCAAGATTCCCCCTTTCCCTCCTCTCTTATTATAAAAGAACAGTTCTGTACATGATTTCCTGGCTAACATTGCTCTTCTCTTCATCCAGCACTTTGTCTCCCAGCAAAACCCAAAGCTTCTCTGACATTATTTCATTCATCCATCATTCTAGCATCTGAGGAAGGGAGATCTTACACCTATTTTACAGAAAAAAGGCCAAGACCTAAAAATTGGCTGATTTGGAATCATCAGAGACTTAAAGCAGAGGGAGAAGAAGATTGAGAGGGAGATTGCTAGTTTAAAGTGTCTACAAAGGCCTGGCACAGTGGTTCACATTTGTAATCCAAGCTACATGGGAGGCAGAGGTAGAAGGATCATTGAAGGAGGATGGTGATATGAGGCTGGTCCCAGGCAAAAATGCAAGGCCCTATATGAAAAATAACCAAAGCAAAAAGGACTGAGGTGTGACTCAAGTTGTAGAGCTTGCCGAGCAAGCACAAGCAAGGCCCTGAGTTCAAACCCCAGATTGTCCAAAAAAAAAAGTGTCTAGAGACTGGTGCCCTGTTGAACTCTGGAACTGTGGAAGTGGAGTCGTGGCTGACTTTTGAAGCTCTTGAAGAGCTGGGTTAGATATTCAAGGCTATATGAGCTGAAGTCGAAAGCCCTGGAAACATGACTGTGATTTGAACACACATGCACAATCATTTTTGTCCAACACACACATCCTAAAAATCATCACCCCTTGCTAAGCTGTGGGGGGAAAAAAGCCCACAGGATTTATGAGAAAAACAGGGTTAAGGACACAATACTCAAAAACTTCATCAGCAACACATTTAAAAAAGATAAGCATCCAATAAAACATTGCAGAGTTTTACACCTGTTAAATGGTTAAGAAGCACCATCAGTACTTCCAACAGTAAATGTGGCACTTGAACTTGAAAATGTCTTAAGTTTGCCCAAGGAAGTGGGTGTCGGCAGGGTTGCAGGTCATGAGTTGTTGTGAAGTAGTGGACAGAGGGTTATCTGAAATCGGAAGCAATGTCGGTGACTCCTGGTGGGCATGGATTTGGCTTATAACACATGGAGTGACCAAGGTGATTGGCAGATGTTCCAGGTGTATGGGTGCATACACAAATGCATTTAGTATATTCCTACATGTCCCCATTCATGTGGGTACAGATTTCTGAACTCACTGGTGTTTCTCAAATATGAAATTCATGTGACTTTCAAACTATTCCCTAATACAGCAATGAAATTAGAACAGAGTCACACTTCCAAAACACAAAGGGTAGAATCACTAGCTACCAGGGTGAATCAAGAAGCACTTCCCAGAGGAGATGACATTTAGTCATCTCAAGGGATATGACATGGAGAAGAAGAGCTTTCTAGGAAGGGGGAACAGTGAAACAAAGGCACAGAGATAACACACACAGCAGAGCCCCTTGATAGAAGGCAGCACTTCGGTGTGGCTATATGGGGTGGGGTGAGAGATGAGCCAAATACGGCAGCCTGCAGGCACAGATACCTGATTCTGCCAGTCTTGGGTGCTGGAGCTTTTCCAGAAAGTAATGAGGAACCATCAGAAGTTTCCAAACAGGGCGGCGATATGATTCAATTTTGTTTCAGAAAAGAATCCCAGGCTGCAACAAGATGAGGAGCACCCTGGAGATAGATGCTGGCACAGGAAGGCAGGGCAGGGGATACTGACCTCAGGGCCATATGCTCCTCCATGCTTTTGACACTTCTGATCTGTGTCTGTTCCATAAGCTGTTTGGAATTCAGCAAGAACTTCATGCCTGTGGAGCTGAGGCCCAGATGCAGGGGAAAGTGGATGATCTCTTCACTAGAGCCTCAGGGAGTTCTCTAGACTCCACCTGGATGCTTTTGCTGCTGGATCTGCTTGCTGTTCATCCACTTGTGGTTCATAGAGTT